AAAACCACTGGAGCCAAAAGAAAAAGAGGCCATGCAGTGACTTGGCAGCATGGCAGTCCTTCCACTGCCACCGTCGGAACCTCTTTCTGGGAAGGAGTCCCAGCTTGTCCCGCGCCGGCTGTGTTCACAGCCGGCCATCCTTCGAACATCCTAGTAGGAAGTAGGAAAGGGAACAGTGGAGCTTGAATGACTTGCTTCGGTTGGAGACTCGGACACTCCTTTCGTCAAACGAACTAAGGAAACAAAGGTTAGAGAAGCTTATAGTTACGGTAAACGATAATTAGGTCCACCCATCACATTAGATTAGTCAAGAGTCCTAAACAGGCTAGGTTAGTCAACTTTATTTAATTAAACGAACATCAGTTGCCTGAAGATTATATTACCAACCTGCTTCTGCTTAGATGCTTTCATCACCACAGAAAATTCCAGAACTGTAAAAGAAGGAATTTGAAAAAGAAACCTTCCCTTTTTATACTGAGGGGCAGCAACTTGGGAATGGCTCTTCCAGACAGTAAGAAGCTCCGAACTGGTCCGATTAAACGTTTCCAGCGATATAAGAAATAAAACCCTAAGGCTGACCGGAAAGCTTTTCTTAGGGTTCTGTCGGCCTTCTTGCCTGGGGTTAAGCCGAATCGCTCGCTGATTGCGTGAATCAGAGCACAGCTTTTACATCATCCTTTGACGTCCTCTTGCCGTTAGAGTACAGCGATTGTGTTTGAGCGAACTCGTTTTCTTATCAAGCCAAGTTAAAGAAGCTTTGTACAGGAAAGGAGAATCCCGCGTCTGTCAAGGAGGGTCTTTGTACATTTTCTCCTCCTCAGAAAGGAGTTCTGGCTAAATTGCTCTATTTAAAGTGACCCTTTGTTTCGTCTGCTTAGTCTGCCTTTATGTGTTCTGAAAACCACAATCCTCAACTTCATGAACTGATCCTGAAATGGGGTTGGAAGAGCGCTCTGCAGGTGCTCAGAGACTTTTGCTTTGAAGGGAGAAGAATTTCTTGATTGGGCGGGGTTAAACCAGAGGAAAAGGTCACATTGACTATTCCTGCCAGAAAATATCTGTTTGTTTGCACAAGATTAGATAGTGAATCAGTTGAATAAAAAAACTGCTATCCGTTGATGTCCCTTTTTTTTTTTGACTCTGAGAATAATCGGCCAGGTTCAAGAGGCACAGAAACTCACCGCACCGTCCACTTTTTTCCTCTATCCCTGGCAGTGCAAAAAGCATAAAAGGGTTTTCCAGCACAGCCTCATGGTCTCATCCAGCCATTCCTGCAATGACGTTTGTTTTCTGTTTAATTGTCGGTCTATATTTGCTTGCATGTTTCAATTGACCTGCAAGACAAACGAAGTACCCGTGGTTGTCAATGTGGAGTCGTCAGCCCCTGCCTTTCCCTGCCCGCTAGTTGAGCAGCTGGCCAAAGTGTGAGCCACCACCACCACCACCACCACCACCACCGCCACCGCCTCTACAGGCTAAGCTCTTTTGGAGGGATTTTTCTGCCCATCCCCTCTCCTCTTCCTGCCATGACCTCAGAGAGGCAGCATAAAAACCCTGGGCCGAGGGTCCAATATGCCCCCAGAGCGAACATCTGGGGGAAGCAATAGGTCTTTGCTGCTTTCCTGACACCTACATCCAACAGCCTTGGCCTTGGTCTTGTTGCCATTGGCTCTTGGAAATACTTTGGGACATTTTCCTGGAAAGAAGACTAACGGCCGTTCCTCTTTCACCCCAGTTCCCCTGTCTTGACCACAAGGAGACCCCAGTTCCACAGGGATTTTGTTGGCCTGGGAGCTTGTGGGTTCCATTCCCCTCTTGAATCCCCTTTGGTCTTTTCTCTCCTTGCCCTCTTGCTGGCAGGATGGGTCTCTCCAAGCTTAACTATTTTCACTGAATTTTGTTAGCAAGTAGGGAGCTCTTCTCAGTGGTGATTCCTAGTTCTCAGTCCTCTGACTTCAGGACAACACCGAACTGTTTACAGCTTTAAGGCTCTTTTATTTGGTGTTAGAATCTGGGGGAAGCTGTTTTTACCCTGGAGGGATGAAGGGTAGACTTAAGTCTCTCTCACTGGTGCATATGGTAATGGGGGCGGGGGGGGTAAAAAAGGGGCTGCTAGACCCTGTTCATGCCTCAGGTAGGTGCAGCTAAGGAAAAGAGGAATGGAACAGCACTGTGTCGCTACCTCCTTTTTGGGGGGAGGAATAGGAGGACACCAAATTCTCAAGAATTCTGAGTTGGCCAGTCCTGAAGCTTAAGGCCCCTGGTAGAATTAAACTCATTCCATTTTTCAGATGTACTAGGGGTGCCCTCTGCCCTCCTCCAAGCTCCATTGGGTTGCCCTAGGATGTTCAAAAACTCCAGTGGGGGAAAGATGGGCATTTCAGAGATAATGTCCACAAAGCGGTTTCTAAGGCTTCTTCTCAGTCCCAGACATTCCCCAAATCTCCCCTGCACCCCCTCCTAGGTCTGGCTTTGAGGAGAGGTTTTTTTTTTTTTTTCCTGGCACCTGGCACTGAGTACTTTCCTGTGACTCACAGCAAGGCCAATCTTGCCCAACTAAGCTCCAGATCCCAGGATCAAGAAGCTGAAAATACCATATAAAAAGGGCCAGTGTATTTTGAGGCAGAAATGAAAAGGAACCTTACACTAGTGGAGATCTGCTGCTTTGCACCCTTAGGGCTTAAAGAATTGTACATTTAAAGGATACCTCCTAGTGTGGCCTATGGAAAGAAAGCATAACAAATGCCATGAAATTCTTTTATTATTTTGAAATTATTACTTTTACTAATTTTTTTTATTATTTTTCCCCAGGGGAATTTATTTAGTCTGAAATCAAGGACAACTAAAGGTTCCCTTTTCTTAACTGAAAGCTCTTGTAGATGAGTTTCTGCTGTGCATTTAGAGGACAACTGAATCCTAGGGAGTATATGCCAAAGCTAATGGTAAATCTACTAGATAGAATTTGCTAACATATAGTATGAATCTTAGAAAATCTACTCTGATAATCAAAAACCTAATTACAAATTTCACAGAGTTTCTACTACCAATGATTTATAGGCTATTAATATAGGAATTGAAATACAACTTTGAGGAAAGGAGGGAAAGGTGATGAGGAAGGTTCTCTAGCCTGAAGTCAGAAAAAAGGGAGTGAGTTGATATTTTGCCCTTAGTTAAAGCAGTGGTCAGCCAGGAAAAGTGCTTCTTCTAACCTTACCTGGCTGCCCATTCCAAATTTGTTGATGCATTTGAAATGAAAGAAATGCAACATTTATGAGTTTGGTCCCTTGGGGTAGGTACAGCAAGAATGCACCTTTCAGGGTTAAAGAATGAAATGTTGCAGTATTCCTGAGAGTGAGGATGGAAAGAACAATTAATCGAAAAAATGAAATCTATAAATGGGAGGAAGAAGGTCAGCTGGCTAACTATGCAAAGGTTTCAGAAATTTCCAATTTGCACCAAGAGAAGAAAGTAGGTGCTGTCCTCCCCACTTCAGCCTCCACCCTCCATTACCTATTAGGATTGTGATGATAACATCTTGACCCAACAACAGCTCTCCAAACCCTTTGCTGGCTCCCTTCAGAAGACCCTAAAATTTGGGAGTGCCCAGAGAACACACAATATATTCAAACCCCATCTTTAGCCAGTAAGTCAGATAATCCTAGTGCCATGAGTAGTAGGTTATCAGGACATCCAATTCCTTCAGCCCCAACTTAATTCTGCTTCTTGTGTGAACATAGCTATTTGCCTTACTCATTTACTCACTGGATTTAGCTGGGCTCAAAAGCAGGATTCCATGGCTACTCTTGCAGGCCCTAGATTTTTTCCTCCTACTTTAACTCCAAGGTATACAAGAACTGGAGCCAAATTTTGCCCTCAAGGTAATGGTGAACTCTATAGAACTGAAGGGGAAAAATCCTCAATCCCATGAGCCCTGAACTGTGGAAAGTCTTCCAGGCAGCTAAAGCAGGTGTCCCAGAAGCTTTCTAGAAGGAAAATCGAGGCAGCCACTGGGTTTCATACTATTCCCACATGTGTTATATCCTCCCACATGGCTTAGTCTGCCATTTTGCCTTCCCTTCCTGCTTTTGATGCAGTGCAGCCTATAAAACACCCCAATTTGTGGACAGAAAGGCTATTTAATCCATCACTTTCACTTGCCATCTACCAGACTTCCCAAGAACGTTGCTTGGACTGGTTCTCCATTTACTATTTATTTTTCTTGATTTATGAATGTGTTGTTTCCCACATTGTCTAAACTTCTCTTATTAAATATCTTTTCAGAAGAATCACCATTCCTCCAGCAAGTGCCAAACTGCTGTTTTTCCGTTTGCTTCTTCATCTCCTTCCCCGTTTACTCTTGCCTACTTATTTCATCAGACATAAAAAACAAACCATTATTTTGATTTTGTTACAATAAATATCAGTACGAACGGGAATAAATCTTAGGCTGGAAAAGGAAGCTGTGGAGAGAAAGGATGGTTTTTGAAGATTTTTAACTATAAGCCCTACTTAAATTGGGTCAATAATCCAGCTACTGGGTCAGATTTAAATCCAAGCCTCCAAGCCTCCTGGGGTGGACATAACATTCGGATCGCACTCAACAGCCTGAGAAATTGAAGCAGGTTTTGGGGTGCCCTGCAATCGACCCAGTTATTTTCAGAACAAAGACCCCTTTGGTACTTGAATGGCTGCCGAAATGCCCGTGGTCACCAAATCCAAGAGAAGGAACCCCCGCAAGAGTGAGGCAGCCAGCGAGGGATGAAGTCGTCCTACGGCTGAGGCCTGAAACATGAGTTTTTCTGGAGGAAACCAAAGTCTTTGCATTTCTCCACACAGTTTGGGAGAGTTCAAACCAAGCTGCAGTTTTAGAATTAAGAAACAAAGCAATTGCCAAAAGTTAGATTGATTTTTATAAATTAGGGGGGGTGGTACAAGGAAGGGATTGACGCACAAATGTTCACAATTCAGTGGAAGTAAATTGTCATAGTTGTTTGCAACTCTCCACCTTTAAAAAAAATGAGGGCATTTACTGCGAAATGGGAGAAGAAAGGGGGGGAAAGGCACCGAATGACTTCAACATCCCCACCGTAATTGTTTCTTTTTCCCTTCAAAGGCCCCAGTATTAAATTCATACTGAATATAAAAATAATAATTATAAACACAACGATTTTAATACAACCAAAAAGTGCTAGAATCATATTGTTTCCCAAACTGCGCTCCATAACTGCGAGAAGTCAGGTCACAGGCCAGGAAGCTGCGGGAAAACTCCTGCATACCCGCGTTAGAGTGGACGGAAGATGGTCCCCTTGTTCGGACTGAGCGCGTTTGTTCAGGCACAGTCCAACTACCTCCAAGGTTCTGGAGCAAAAGAACGGCCCGCTTGGTTGTCCCGTAAAATCTCGATTATTCAGCGAAGCCGGCAGGAGGAGATTGACTCTGCTCCGGCGGCGTTTGAACTAAGAAAGGAGGACGGGAGAGGCGGCTCCAGAAGAGCAAAAGCGGCCGAAAGAACAGATCGGCTGCCGAGCTTTCCCCTACTGCTCTTCCCTTCTTTCCTTGCCTCCCTCCCTCGTTTCTCCTCACCCCACTAGCCTTCGTGCTCTGGAGCGGTCGGGACCCGAGCCTCATTTGATGCCCCCGGCGGCAGGGGCAGCACAGGCGGAAAGAGCCCAGCCCGGCAGGCAGTAATAAGGGTAATAGTAAGAGGGCTGGAAGGAGAAGAGGGGAGGTGGCCGGAGCATCTCGTTCGGGTGATACTGCCTCTGATCATCACGGACTAGCACTCTGACCGCTACTTTCTTGGCCGCCGGCGCCGCGGACAATAAGTCCGCGGCCAACTGGCGCCGCTTCGTCTTGTAGCGCCGATTTTGGAACCAGATTTTCACCTGCGTCTCGGTGAGCTTGAGCGAGGCAGCCAGATCGGCGCGTTCGGGCCCAGAGAGGTAGCGCTGGTGGTTGAAGCGCCGCTCCAACTCGAAAACCTGCGCGTGGGAAAAGGCTGCCCGCGAGCGCTTTTTGCGCGGTTTCTGGAACGCCGTCGAGGTTGCCACTGGGGCCGGGATGCCCGCCGACATCGCCTCGTCCTCCTCGGATAGGGCTTTGGAGCCCAGGCAGCCGTGTTTGGCTTCGTCGTCCTCCTCCTCCTTGTCCTCCTCTTCAGTGTGGCTGCCGCCTCCTGAGGAGGGAAAAGAAGGCGGGCAGAGTCAGGAGGCCTAGGAGTTTCGGGGTGCCTCTTCAGCCACGTGCCCCGCCTCCCCGATTTCCCCTCCACCTCAGTTTCTCCCGTCGGAGCAGAGAGACTCGGCCTGCCATCGGAGGGCCCCCTGCCACTTCCTATTCTGCCCGATCCTGGAGCAGCACTGGGCCTACATTTCTCCTATCCCTAAAGGCAAGCCTCCTTCGCAAGGCGCTGATGCCGGTGGTTAACGTACCTTCTCCACTGTCCTAGGGCTTTTTGTCGGATGGCCTACCAGGCTTCAGACCCTTTACTCTTTTTCTTGGGCTTCTCCCGCGCAGCCACACGCATATCTAAGCCCTTCAAAACCAGTTACGCGGTGTAAATCAAAGGAGATTGAACTGAAAGGAGACCCGCATGGGATGGAATTTTATCTGTTTCAGGGTAAACACAAGGCCAGGTCGGAGCCCTTCAAACTCTTCCTTTTGCTTCCTCTCCTATTTGGTAAGGGGTGGGGGTAAGGTGGGGCAGAAAGTTGCACTTTGGCTGAGAGGGGTGCCCACGAGTTGCCGTGAAAGGGAATGACCCCAAGAAAGACTTGGAAACACTGCCTTCGAAATTGGGAAGGAGCGCTGTGTTTGATCCAGACAACATTTGCTCGGAACCACAGGAGCTGCTGCTGCTCTCAAGGTAGCCTTAATTCTCCCTCACGTGGCCTGCCTAGGTGCGCACCCTTTTCGTCAGCCGCCTTGCCGACTGCTGTGGGGCTGAGGGGAGGCCTATCAAGCAAGGAGCGCCACAATCCCTCTGCCAAATCAGGGTAGCAGCCATTACAGAGAAGTGGTGGGGAAGGGGAGCCCGAAGAGCCACTAAGGAGCAACGAAAAGAAAGGCCTTCACCACAATTCGAACGTTGACATTTCTTAATTTCCCAGCAGCCAAACTCTTCTCGCAAAAACTGCAGGAGTTAATCCTCTGTTAGCGGAGGTACAAAACTCCAGTCTGTCCCGCCAAGTTCCAATAAGCAGTTTGTTAAATCTAACCATACTTCCCAGTTCCTAGGCATTGTTTTGCTTCAAAATCTCACCCTGGCGTTAGAAAATCTCAGCCGAGCCTTCAGAGACAGGCTGTGCAAAGTAAGCTATAGAAACCATTCGTCTAAGTGTTCTTGTCTCAGGTTTATTTGCACGGAACTGGCAAGGCACGGAACTGGCAAGGCATGTCACTACCACCAACTGAACCAGGTCTCGCCCTGGCTTGATTTCGACAGGCGGACCGAAGCAGATTTTGCCCCAAAGTCAGTCAACTTTGCGTGCTGCTCTCCGGATTCCTAATGGTAGAAAACTCTCCATTCGAGCCCTTCGCTTCTGGGTCTCTTTGGCACTCCTCTTTGTACATGCGGGGCTTCCCTGGTGGCGCATTCTTGGTTCCCCTCTGTCCGGTTCTCCAAATGGAGGGGCGGACAGAAACGAAAGCTCTTCTCTGTGGCCTAGAAAAGCCGAAGAGAACAGGCGACGCGTTTCTTCCTCCCGCCCCGCGTAAGTCTCTGTTCTGCCGCCAAGCTCAACACAAGTGCAGCAACTGCCAGGGAGACGCCATCCAGCAATCGGCACCCTAGTACTCCCCCCCCCCCGCACGCCGGGATTCTCCTAAGCTTCCGGCTCGGCGGGTTAATGAAACCGCCCCGGGATCCACTTTAAAGGGCTGGAAAGCGCAATGCTTTGTCTGGAGAAGGACAAGCTCCTCGGCTGCATTTGCCCCTGAGCGGTCGGCGTCTGAGAGAGACGCGGGGGAAACGGACTCTGCCTGGGAATCTCAGGGGGGAAGGACAGTGCCTTTCTTTCCCTTCAGTAACTAGGCTTCGCGCGATCCATTTCCTGCAGGGGAAACATCCTCTATTAAGTTTAAGCTCGCTTTTTCCGAGTTCAGCGAGAAGGCCTTTGTCCGTCGGAAGGCGGCGCGCACAACACGGGGCGAGTCTTCAGGCTCCGCAGCCACGGCAGTCAGCTCGGATTTGGAACTCTATGGGATCCCTCGAGAGCGGCCGATGAGAGTGCAATTAGCAACGGGCGGGTTAAGGGATTCGGGCTTCCCCGCTGGCCTATTCAGGCCCAGCCGAACAGCTGGGAAGGCGGCCCTCAGCTTCCGCGACCCGTTTCCCGGCTGCCCTTTCCTGACTAGAACGGGTTCCTGACGAAGGGAGACGCGGGTAGGAAAACAACAGCGCCCAGGAGCCAGAATGTCTTCGCAGTTATTTCTTCCGCTAGGCCCGGCAAACGCTGCCTTTTAAACCCTGGGGATCGGGGCCACGCAGGCCCCAGAACTGGAAGCCGGGCGAGGCTCCAGATTTCCAGCCCCGGCAGAAGATGAGCCGCTGCCCTCCAAAGGTGGCCTTCTAGCAGCGACCAATTGAGCAGAACGCTTAGTTCTCGGAGGATTCCGGAAGGCTGGGAAAGAGCGCGGGATCGTCCTCAGTGCCCAGCGGGACTACCTTCCCTCTAAGAGAGAAGCGCCCTCTATTCTCCCCGATCAGAGCTTTATACCCTCGAGATCTCCGGATGAACAGGAGCACGACCTGGCTTTGTCTCCCCATTCCCACCGGCATAGCCCCGCTCCACAGTCCTCCCTTGATCGCTCCGAAGGCTTACCTGTTGTCGGCGGCCCCGAACCTTGACCCAGGGGCTGGCTTTGCGGGGACGGAGGAGGGTGGCCTTGCTCGGTGCCGATTCTTCTCACGAGGGATCGAGTGTGCAGCCTCTCTCGGGGTTTTCGGGAGTCAGCGGGCATGTGGCCCTCTCTGCCGCCCGGCTCTTGCTCTTCGTCATCGCCGTCGTGCTCCTCGCTCAGGACTGAATCCGAGTCGCAGTGGGGTGGCCGGGCAGCCGCGGGGTTAGAGCGCTGCTGTTCGTGGGGCGGCGGCGTCGGCTGGAGCACGGGGCCCAGAGTGGTGGCCGCCGGGTCAAAGAGGCGCCAGCAGCAGGCGGGCGTACCCTCGGGGCTGGGCAGGAGCATCGGAGGGCAAGGACGGGCGGCAGCTACGACTCGCACGGCGCCCACTTCCTTCTTGGTGAGGAGGGCTTGAATGGAAAAAGGCGTCGGGGCCAGGCTAGCATTGTGCCGGGCCATGGCTGGGACGGATGCTCGGCTGCCGTGTCGGACAGCAGCAGGAGATCTGCTTTCAGTTGGACGCTGCCCTCAGCGCCGCCGCCGCCGCCGCCTCCCGGACCAGTTGTGCGCTGTTCCCATAAAGAGCCCGGCCGTCGCTGAACCTGCCGACACGCTCCTCCGGCCAGGCAGCTCTCGACTCCGTCCCACACAGCGCCTCTGCGTGCTCACTGGCTTTCGGCCGCCTTTTTCTGTTCGTCCAGCTGTCAGTCCAGCGCCGGAGCGCCCGAGCCGAGGCGGGCGTGGCCGTTCCTCGGGGGCGGAGCTCGTTTCGGGCGGCACGTTCATTGGCTGCACTACTTTTCCGGCCGCCGGGAGAGTCCGGTCCTGGAGCACCCGCCTTAACCCTTTCACTGCCAAGGGTTTCCCTGCCCGAGAAAGAGTTTCTGGCCGAGAAGGAAGGGGAATTCCTCGAGGGCAGCCCTTCTCCGCTTTTACGCCTCTCCCGAGTCAGCGCCATACATCTTCGGCTTTCCAGGACAGTTAAGCTGGGGTAACCGGCTGACAAAGCCGTTGCTGGACCAGAGACATTTTCTGCCCAGGCCTTTAAGGCGGTGGTGTCAACTTCACCCTGGGTTGATGTCGCACAAGAGACCAATATGAAATCGTTATTGGTTAATAATAATAAACAACATCACCCAGTAGTTATCCACACACTAGGTGCCATATCAGAAAATCTGGGACAGCACTTAGAAAAATCTGAGCACTGACAAAATTTCTATTTGTCAATTGCAAAAGACCACATGCTTGCATCTATACATACAACACTTATAAATTACGACATTCTATGTTCTTGGGAAGATAATACTTAATACTTATGAAGGCCAAAACTATCTAAAGAACTGACAGCTGTGATGTCACATTATTGTGAACAGAAAATAATTTGATTATAATGACTACTGCTTCATTATTTTTCCTTTAATCAAAATGCTGAAATCGAGAGTCTTTCTTCTTTACCTAGAATGAAATTAAAAGGAACATATATTTCTACTGTTTATTTTCTTCTGCATCTGAAATCCATTCAAAAATGGCGAATCTGCTGTCTAATGTGATGGTGTTGCTAAAGCTTGTCTTTTGATGCTTGAGAATTTGTAGAATATGAAGGGCACATTTTCTTCTCAACCTAAAAAATGAATTTTGAAAGTTCCTCAAAACAGAACTAGGCGAAATTCCACATTTTTGTCAGTTTGAATAAATTATATGCACGGTTTTGATTGTAGCAAAAAACTTTAGATGTTTCCAGAAAAAAAAACCCTCTCTGCCATGTCCTTTGTCAGACTTGAACCACGTTTCTCATATCTGATTCTTATGCAGGACAGGTTTGTCATTTTATTTATTAAAAATATTCGCAGCGTCAGTGTGAACGAATAAATAAATTTTATACACAAAAAACATTGAACGAATTCGGAACAAAATTAAAGTGTTTTTTTCCTCAGCGAGCGTGGCTAATAGAATCCAACATTTATTATTATGGACAATCTCACACATTTGCTGGATGTTTCAGGGTTGCAGAGTGAAATGAACAGGTGGCCTGTATATGCGGAAAAGACTATGAGAAACATACCAGTTCTCCAAATAGAAAGGTGGGGGGTTCAATGACCTTCAAGGATTCTGGGCAACTGGGAATTAAGAGAAGTTTAAACTCCCTCTCTTAGAATTTAAAAATAATGAGTAAAGAAACTGGGGAGGGGAGGAAGAGAGGTGGGACAGATGGAGAAATCCTCACATTTCTGAAGCAAGCTGCTCCTAGGAGATTGGAGTCTGGCCGGATACTTGGGGATGAAAACTCTGCTCCTGCGTTTTCCTTTAAGGCAAGAACGACTCAGGTGTGCCACCCTGTGTATTAAGACACATTCCTCAGAATAAATAGACCGAGATATTTTCTATAAATGTATGTGTATTCCATTGAAAATAGGCAAAGGTTTTAATAAAACCAAGTCACAATTCCGTGGAATCAGTAATATCTTCAAGTCGCGTTCCTTGAAACATCGTGTGAATTTTGAATCCCCGACTGAAATTTCTGCAGCCCCCGAATTCCCCTGCACAGGAGTGCAAATTATCAAACGACTTTTGTCTCTTCTTCTTTGACCATTGGGAGCAAGTCCTTTTCCTGTAGCCGGGAGTTCCCTCTGCTTCGCCCGCGAAGCTCCCTGAGAACTCACTGAGATATGGCGCGCCTGGATCTGGCAAGGAGGAAGGAGCTGAGCCGGGGAATTGCGGTATTCGCCCCCCGCCACCCGCAAGTCTCCTCCCTTTCCATCGATGCCCAGGTGGCAGCGCCGTCCTGCTCATTGCGCCACAGGAAGGGTGCCCGCTGCTAAGAGCCCGTCATCCCCGGCGGAGGAGACAAAGGGCGCGTGCGGCTGCAGTCCGACCCCGACGCCGCCCCTCGGCCCAGTTTCGCTGCCTGGGAGCGGGGAGAACGTTCTACCGGGGTTCAGGGAGGCGGGCGTCGCGTGAACCTGTGCCGGGGGAAAGAGCCGTCGAGTCCCGTTGGAGCAAGGAATGGGCCTTCTGATGTCCGCCGGCTGCTCTTTGCCCCTGAGCTGGGAGGGAGCCGATTGGCCGGCAACGGATGAAAAGAGGGGTCTTTCCAGCCGCCTCGGGAAAGCGAAGGCCCCGGTGGCGAGAGTAGGGAAGGTGGCCTGGTGCAGAAGGTTGGGAGTGCGCCCACCAGGTCCACGAGGGCGGAAAGCGCTCTGAGTTGGAGCCTCGGGGCCTTTCACTGCCGAGCAGCAGTCCGACTCTCCGCCCCTAGAACTTCGCTCTGGACTCGCCCAGAGAACGCCGCCAGCCGCGAAGGACGACAAACGGCAAGGGCAGGGGTTCCTGTTGCGACCAGCTGCTCAGACGAGAGGCAGCGGGCGAGTTGGCGAGAAGGGCGCGAAGGGAGCTCCTTCTGTGCCTCGGCAGCTCGGCCTGGAGGCGGGAGGGGCCCTTTTTGCCGAGCAGCTGCTCGTCCCCTAGCTTGGCTGTGAGAGCCGAGCAGAAGGGCATCGCGAGGGTCGAGACAGAAGATGTCGCGACTGACAGCTGCGAGATCTCCTTTCCCGTAATGGCGCCACAATGACAAGCCTGGACTTCAAGCCAAAACCAAAACATCTTTCAGTCGATTCAGATGGAACACGCCGCGAAAAAGATGCCTGAGAGCCCAGTCCGCGAATGAAGGGGATGCTCAAAGCGGGAGACGGAGGGGGGCGGGTGTCGGGGAACTCTCCGGGAGGCCTTCCCCGGGCGGAAAAAGAGTGAAGGAGGAAGGGAAGCGTCGGGATGCCAGTTCCGGGCGGAAAGAGGCCTCGCGGGGTTCGCCCACCGTCTCGCCCAACCGTTCCGATGTCCAGGGTTGCGGCGTTGAAGGTTCTCCAGGCGAAGGCAGCGCTCGGATCTCTGTCCCCGCCGGCTTTGCAGGAAGTCCGGCCGGTGGCATGGGACGCCACCTAGAGACAGACGGAGAGGCATAGAACGGCGCTCCTCTTTGCCTCCTTCCCATGGCAGCCAAGGGCTCTTCCTGGCTAACTCCAGTGAAAACAGGCAGAGCAGAAACAGCGGACCAGGGAAGACCTTTGAGAGCAGGGAGCAACCCGGACGGAACGGAGATGCGCCTTCCGGGGGGCTTAGCGGGAGAGTGAAGAGGCTAGAAGCGGGGCGCTCCTTGTCGGGGCACAACAAGCAAGCTGCTTTGGGAACGGAGGTTCAGACGAGAAATACTGTCGTTTACAGTGGAGTGTTTCAAATCCGTCTCTGTCTAATTCGGTCCGCAGACTCGACGCAAACTTGTTGGCGCCGAGTACCGTCCACTGATTTGTTGACTGCCTGGCTGCAGTCTCCCCTGGAGCGGGAAGCTTAGCTTGCCTAGAGACACTGAAATTATGGGGAAATGGTGGTCGAGGCCCACTCAGCATTGTTCCTTTGTGAGAAACAATTTGCTGTTTTTCTTGGGTTGGGATTCATTTCTATACATTTGTTGCTAGTCCCTTATGCTACATGACAATGAGAGGTGGTACCTCCTTTGTAGAGGTTCTTTCTCAGACAATTGATAGTACAATTAGTATATTCTACATGTCCTCCAGTTGGTGAACAAGTCACAATTGCTGGGCTCATACAAATTATTTGGTAAGAAGACATTTCAATTCTAACATGTTAGAATTGCCTAGTTCTAGAAAGCAACTCTTGTTTGGGTTGGGATAACAGATCTGTGCTCTGCTTTATTTCAAGCCAGGTGGCATAAATAGAACCCCCTTCATTACTCTCCTGACTGCGATGGAGCTCCAGGCTGCCTCCAAACCTTCAGTCAGCATTTTCAGCTTCAGCAGCCAGTCAGGACTACAGACCAAAAATGTCTTGATTTCTTCTGTTCCCTGATTGCTGAGAATTTGTCTTCAAGCTTTAAGCAGCAGAAGACATTCCCCTTGTTAGGCTGGTCCTGCATTCAGATTCCCTGCTGCCACCAAAAAATCTTTCCTGGGTGAAGCTTAGTTCAGGTCATCTACTCAGAGATGTTACTAGACAGGAGAGCTAAATTAATGGATTATTTATTTGCCAAAGCTTGAACAGAGGAGGACTGGTACAAATTATCAAACCATTTGCTTGTTTAAAATAAACCAAATCTGTCCTCAGCCTACGTAGATGTTCTTGTGTTCAATGTGAGGGTGAGCAAGTGGAGCTTTTGGGACAAGAACTGATGCTATGTTCTCTCCATGTCTTTTCCTCTCTACTAGACAAAACTCTGGGTCAGATCCTTGACAAAACTGTTAGCCTGAAAGAGCATTAAGGGAGATGAAAATATCTGTTTTGAAACCAACCCTGAGCTTTCTCCAATAGGTTATATCTGTTCCTGTTTTGGAGCAATCCTTATGTGCAGAAGTGGAAGAACCCAAATCCCTTTCTTGTTTTCTGCCAAAATCCTTCAGACTTAAAGGTAACCAACTTTTGCTCAATTGCTTCTTGAAAGTATAGAGTAACAGAATTTTAATCTTTCTCCTTTTACTTTCCTTATAAGGGGAAAATCTATGTTCTTTTCAGAGCAGGACATTTACAGTACAAACATTCTTTATTGAAGTTTACAACATCTATGAAATAAATGTCTGAATGTTACCAAGAATGCTAAAGAGAATGATTTTGTCATCATTAAAACCTCAAAACCATCTTTGCTGGGAAGCAAACAAAATACACTTTTGTAACCTGTTTTAAGAGCAACTAAGTAAAGTTCTATAAAGTGGTGCAAATATTACTGCCAGTCCTATAGTCCCACTTCAACGCTCATTCTTTCAATCCTGCCCTCTTGGGATTCTCTACACCATTATTGTGCACAACTCATTTGAAAGACACTTACTGTCAGACCTGCT